GGCAAGTCGAGTGCTTTATAAGAGATCTCCATAATTCGACGAATGAATAAAATACTACCCTCCGGCGACTTTCTCGAACGTAACAGGTCTCAGGGAGCGAGACCGGGGATTTTCCGGGGAATTCTTCCGCGGCGGGAGAAAGATATTCATTCCGGAGTCTCTCTTGCGCGCGCGATATCCTCACTTAATTCGATCTTTTAACCACCCTCTGCGTCTTATTCGGCGGAATCAGTGACGCCAAACCTGCCGTATATATCGCAGCCCCGCGCGCTCACCACCCAATCTGCTCCCAATTTCACGAGGGCATTCGTCGGGGGCTCACTCGAATACCGAAGCCCCACGATTTCGTTGCGTTCGTTCGAGTTTATCGAGCGGACAGAGCGTCTGTCTGTTTCTCCGTCTCTCTGTGTATGTGTGTGTGTGTATACGCGGGCGCGTGTCCGTTTCCGCGGTCGCTCGAGCTGCAAAAATTTTATGTGGAAACTGCGGAAACTACCCGCGAGACACGATATTCCGGTCCCCTATAATAGCTCCAACAACGACGACGGCGAGATGAACCCCTCGGTTCCGTAGACGAGGAATGGACACGCGCTGGAATCGATCGCGCCTCGTTTCCAGCACGGCTACTTTGCCGTGTTTTCAATTTTTACATTTAGCATGTACGGCTCTCCGTGCCCCTTCTTTTTTCTTGCTCATTTTCCTCTCTTCGTCTATTGCACGACGCGAAATCGTAAATGATATCGCCGATGTAAAAGTCGGCTCTTAACGACCACACACAGAAAAATATCATTCCACACTGAGAGGAAAAAGTGTCTGAAAAATAATAAATATTTTATTTGGTTATATATTTTATTTTATTCCATATATTTATACCTAAAGAATAAATTTTTTTTATTTCTTAGATATTTTTTCTCTCAGTATATCGCTAGGAAAAGCAATTATTCACTTTACTTTACTTTAAAAAAAAAAATAATATACTCATCACAAATTCTAGAAAAGCTTTTTTCTTCGTCATATACTCGAAAGCAAAATTTATTTTCTCCTTATAAGAATATTATAAAACTTTACAGAAGAAAAGGTTCTATCTATAAGTTCGATTCTATATGGTAAACAAATCACGCGAATTTTTGTTTTAATTTAATATTCTTCATTGAAATGTTGAACTCACCAAAGTTCAGAATATATTTTGAATAAATTCGATGCTTATGATAGATTTATGGACATATACACTACTTATGGAACATTTGAAACAAATGATATTTACTCAAGTGCAGTATATATTTTTCTGTGCGCACAAGACAGGTCTGAGATAATAATAGATTAAAAATCACGTGTCCAGTCGAGTCGAAGAGTGTCGGATTCTCCGTTAATCTTCTGTAGAACTCACAATAACGCGAGATGCAGCAATTAATAACAGGAGTGAGTCGTAAAAGTTCAGAGACTTCTTTCCTCAGATCGCTGCGCCTCATACTCCGCGCTCGCGGAGTATATACGTCCGAAGTTGTAAAAAGACGCATCGCGCAAACTCGAGAAATTATCTTTTGCCGTATCTCGATCGCCAATTCAAACCCGTAGGGAGGGTATGAAGGAAAAGGAAAGGGAACATTGTAGCCCTTATCGGCGAAGCTTGACACGCGGGTCTAATTAACTTTGTGTCGATTCTAAGGGTTTAATCCCGCGGAAAACCGGCTTTCCTGTGCACACCGGCGGGAGAAAACATCAAGACTCTGCATCTTTCGTTCAATCCCGTGGAACCGTTCCCGGACAAATTGAGAGGATCTCCCCCGGAGGATAACGGCGAGCCAAAGATATAGATTTAATTTTACGTCGTTGCCGCCGCGCGGCGAATTTTTCTCATCGGCGAAATGCACGAGATCTGACGTCACGTGACGCAACACGAGATTTCTCAAAATACTTCACCTTGCTTTATCATCTTTCGCAGAGGACAATGAAAGAGAGAGGGGGGAGGAAGGAAAAGGAGAAAGACAATATCGCGGACAAAAGTAATCAACAAATGACTGTCGGAGACAATAACCCGTCATCCTGCAGAATTTAAAAGGGAAAGAGACGAGAACAAACGTAATTAATTATGAGAAAGCAAATTTTTATCGGGAATAACTAACCGCTAATTGAGCGCGGCTTATTCCAATTAATTATCGTGCAGGTGGTTAATTAGTAAAAATTGTTTCGACGTACAGGCGACGCGACGTGATGTCGTACATAATGGATTTTGCAACTGGTAAAAAATGAAAAGAGGCTGGGAGAGGTGGACGGAGAAAGAGAGGGAAAAATATTGTAAAAATTTATGTCAATAATGACTCCCAACGTTCTCCATTTCCGCGTTCTCAACAGCCCGGTCGAAATGTGCATTACGATAACAGGAGGAAATCATAATTATATACTAATAAGACTCGTCGTTTTTCGTTTCTCATTACGGCGCGGACACAACGATTATTTATCAGTCCGCGGTTGCGTAATCATTACCTCAGTTTCGTCAACGATAACAATTTCACAACGACTTACTTCTTGTTGTTTTCACGGCAAATTATGCTGAATATTTTGCATTCGTCTCGTGTGTAATCAGCGTGTATGAACAAATACTCGCAGCTGATGGAACAGTTGTCGGATACACTGAGAGAAATTATCTGATAAAAAAATTAACAAACGGGTCTTCGATCAAAATACCGATTTTTGTATCCGATCAGGAAACATCCGATGAGAAATATCGGTTTATAATTTTTTGATCGGTTTATCTGACGAAATTCCATTATGATCGGAAATATCCGATTATGTTTAATTGGATATCCTGATCGAATGTAAAAATTGATCGGAAATATTCGTTTGTTAATTATTTATTGAATAATTTCTCTCATTGTAGCGATCATCCTATCAGCGTCATGAATCCTAACGATATTGTCATGACGTTCGCATTTTTATCTACTGTACACGCATATGCTTGGTTGCAAGACAATTTGCACACTTTTTTCACATTTGCACTTTTGTCACATTTGGGAGACATTACTGACGCGTTTGCACAGTTGATTATGACAGAACAGACAATATATGAGATATTTGACGTCACAATTGCAACAGAAAATTCAGGAAAAATGAGAGAATCTCTATTACAATATATTCCTATCATATAAGAGTATAATAAAGGATCAATCCTTACATTATGTACTGCTACTTCGGCAACATACCATGACCAATTACCACGTAAATCTTTTAGCAGTGTCTATCAATTGTGACAATCCTTGCAACTTCATTGGAAAGAAATGTGTGCAAATCGCTTAATAAGCTTTCAACGTGCGTCTCATTTCGGCTTTTTCCTCTGTTTTAACAGCGACGTCGACGATTACGCGACCGCGACTCAATCATATGGCTGCGACACGTCGACGAGTCGGCGAATCGCAACCGTAATGCGGAAACGAAGTGAAAAGTAATTGCAGCGCGACGTGAAGTATAATCGTGACTTTCGCGGATTTAATATTCACCGATTTGTCCGGTGTCGGTTTAACACGACGTATTATTTTCGAACGCCGCTGAATAATTAGCGCTGCGCACGCACGCTCGACGCAGCTTACCATCGTGATTAACCGTTTAATTTATCGCAAAACGCTTGGCCGTCATCGGTCGTCTCGGCGATGACGGTCGCGCGAAACGGATGGACGCGTTCAGGGACTGGGCGAAAGTAATTTATCGGAGCACTTAGTCGTCGCCGTGACGTCATTTCTCGGAGCGCGGGGGATCGTCTATCATTGTGCAGCACGGACAATCGCGGATCAGGATTCGCTTTCACGATTAAAACGGCTCGTTAAGGTTCAAGTAAGACGAATCACCAGTCCGTGACGTCTGATGGATATAAGCGTGCGTTCGGGAAAAAAACGTGCGATTTCACTATCGGCTCCGCCGAGATTATTTGAAAATGATGTCGTCGCGCGCCGTGACTGTATTTACCGACAACTTGCGTTATGTGTACACGGTTGTTGCATAATCAGATCGTTATCAAGTGTCAGGGGACTCTACGTCAACGAATTTGAGAGTCAAATTACGTATAGTTATATTACGTGAAATATTAATACATGGAATATTACGTCATTTAACGTGCCTGATCGATGTTGGTTATTTTTCATGTGAATGTTGAAAACTGAGTGAAAAAATTGAATAATGTTTACATTCGCAAGACAAAAATATTTAATGTTAGTTGCTCTGCACGAATTTATAGAAATAAACTGCGCATTCTTGCACTGAGAGAAAGGATATTCGAGAATTTATTTGGAGAATATAAAGTTTACTTCTATGAGATAAACTTTCTATGAAATGAGCTTCACATTTCACAAATAAATTTCCAAGTATCTTTTCTCAGGAATTTTTTTCTCTGTGAAATAAAGTTTATTTCTACGAATAAACTTTATACGCCACAAGTAAATTTTCAAATATTTTTCTCTCGATATGTATGAGGCGTCTGAAACCAACAATAATGGACAGAGACATGCTGAGCAAGATGTTTCCTTTATTGCATACTATAGCAAGGAATGATGTAAGAAAAATGAAAAGAGAATAAAAGAATAAAAGAAAGAGAGCACGCATCGACCATGCAATCGCTTTTCCTCCTTTTCGTTCTCCTACCCCTTCCTCTTCTCTTCATCTTGTTCGCTCATTAATTAGACAAGGAAAGCATCTTACACCCTATTAGCCTCTTTTACTAATGATCCTCCAATGGGAATGTGCAATATATAAGAAATGAAATTATTAAATACAACTCCGAGTTATTTTTCCTTCTAGGAATTTTGATAACAAGGAATAAAAAGAGGATTAACAGCTGAATACCGTGCAACATGATAACAAATATTACTTGGTAACGCAAAAAAAGGGGAAATTTTTAACACGCGAGTCTCTTAATTCAAGCTTCGGCGTTCGAGTGTTAATGATGATGCATGATCTACACTACGTAATAATTGATTACGACTAATCGGCCGGCAGTTTGGAGTTTTACTCACTTATATTTTTGTCCCTGTACTGCGGCCGCGCGTCGCCTACGAGACAGACTAGCAGCACCCACACCGCGAACCAGCACGTTCCCATCTCGAGCTGAAATAAGAAGCGACACTCTGTGGATGGGACTTAATTAAGAATTCAGTGGCGGTGCGCTGCATTTCGCAGTTTCTTTACGGCCGCGAGATCCCTCGCGACGTTGACGTGACTCTCATTGTCAGCTGGAGATCGTTCAAAAGTGCATTCCCACCGATCGAGCTTAATTCAAGTGGTCGGGATCCGGCCGATCACGATTTGATGTCGCGCGTGATTAAGAGATCTTGAAAAGCACAGGAAATCCTCTCGGCGAAGAGAAATTAAGGGCTCCACCGAAATCACGGAGAAACGTCCGCTTTAAATTTCACTTAAAGCGGGACAAAACATTCGGCAGAGGGCGGGGAAGAGGGGAGGGAGGTCCGAGAGATCGATGTAACACGGATTTATTCACAATAAATTCTGGCTGCTTTTGCCCGCTCGGAGAAAAGGAGCTGCGGTCTCGTCGTCGTCGTTTCCTCACGCAAACTTATCGTTTTCCCGTTGCATCTCGCCCCCCATTCCATTACCGTGCTTGTTCGGGGCGAAGTTGCCGCAGGCGCAAAAGAACGAGCGTTTTAATTTATGAAGGTTTTGAATTTACATCGCGCGGGAACGTCTCGCGGCTTCTGCGAACAAGAGCGCTCGAGGAAACAACGGAGGGAAACAACGGAGGAAACGCCGGGGAAACGAAGTCGCGTCGTTTAATCGTTCCGTCGCCTTCTCGACGCGACGTGGCCGCCGATAATTGCGAGCTCCTCGCAATTTCGCCGAGGGATTCGCGGTGGGTCGCGAAACGGTCTGGACACAGTGAAGTTGCGAGCTTACCAAAATCTGTTGTCAAAATCGGCAATCATTGCCGACGGACTTGCGCAATAATAATAGAATGAAGAACACGGAATAACGATTAATAATAACATATTACGCTCATAATAATTCGCAATATAATTATTTTCGAGAATAAATATTTCCTAAGTGACATATTTTATATGTATAGTGTACAAATAGATTGTTTATTTGTTAACATATTTGCCTTGTTAAATTAACACTGAAATTAGAGTGGATAAATCGGGACATGGGAGATGCGTTAAATTTAACACAAAATTTTTTACAATGAAGCCATTATAACCGGAGTATAATCCTGTCATTATAATTAGAGTTACTTGTGTCCGATTTTCAATCTAAAACGTTGGAAGGCTGAAGGTCGTGCAACTCTCGATCTGAGGAATGATAGAACATACATGGCGTCGTACATGGTGTATATGTACAGTTTTATACAATTTGAATCATGTCACCAACAAACGCGTGTGTTCCTTCATGTGCAGGATGTGCGCGATTCGACGCGAAGGAGAATTGAGAAGGCCTTGGCTGCGTTCGCACATTTATACAACTATGCCGGATTATCGACCCGCTTCGTAATCGCTGAAGGGATAATGCTCCTTCTCAACCGTCGAGACGGTCCTTTGTGGCAATCGCATGGATAATCGAGAGAAAGAGAGAGACAGAGCATAGGATACGTGGAGTACGGTTGAATATTTCCGGATTTCCTAGGTATGCGCGCGTGGAGATGTTATAAAATATTTCTTTGAGGATTTCGACTGTACGGAGATATTTCGTTCGACAGGCGTTTCCGCGAGGCACGTACATGGATCTTTATGTCAGTTGCCGCAGATATTATTCGCGCTAGTCGTGCTCAACATAGAAAAGTTTCCCCGCCCCGCGGGCGGCAGCGGCGGCTTTATTCGCGAAATTAACGGGATTTCGTTGTCACGACGCTCCCGTCGTCGGTTTCCGCGCGCGTTTTATCGTCGCAATTCGAAAGAATACGCGTCCTCGTCTCGTTTCGCGGGACGTAATGCCAGACGCGTCAACCCGTCCCGCCAATCGTTTCCAGGTGACTGAAATCGCCCGGCAAATTGCTAGCGAGAACCATAAAAAATACCGGCTGATCACCGCGTCGAATTTATCGCGAATTTATTTATGCATTTCGTCTCGCGAAGTTTTATACGCGCAAGTACGGATACTCGACAAGCTACACTCCGTCGGATTGCGATAGAGAGACGAATGACGAGTATCGACGCGTTAAAAGTCGGGAATGAAACTCATAGCCGCTCGACATTCACCTTGTTACGAGGAGAGTATTTTTTCACCGTTATCAAATAAATTTGAAACTTACGAATAAATTGATTAGAAATTTTTAACCCGTGATCCTCATCATATCGAGAGAAAAATACTTGAAAATCTACTTGTGGAATGTAAAGTTCAAGCTCTAGGAAATAGTTTTTTTCTATGAAACAAACTTTTATAAGTAAATTTTCAAATATTTCTCTTTCAGCTCAAACTCGTCACAAGCAGTTATCTATTGTATATAGAATGATATTATCCCAATTATTTATCCCCAAATCTACTTGTAGATTTTAATTTTATTGCATTACTATCTTATAGCTGAGACTTTTCTAGACTTCTGGAGAGAAATGTGCTCAAGAGCATTGATTTTTGAAAAAGTTATATAGTAATCTAAAATTAAAAGAGCAAAAGAATTGCTAATCGGTTGTGACAGGAGTTAAAGTGACAGTGCAGAGTGGCACTTGTAAAAATTGAAAGAAAATTTATTTATTTTATTTATTTTAAATTAGAAAAACATTATTTTAAGAAGCAATTTTTATGTATTTATTTATTGTATATATTATTTGCACATACGTGTTGGTAGCGATTTTTAATTTTGATAACTTGCGACTTTATTCAATAAAAAGTACAACAAGCCGATTTGCAACCGACTATACCTCCTACACTTTAAATTTTAGTAAAATTCTAATATTGATTAGCTATTCAGATTATAATTGAATTATATGATCTAAACACATATATCGAGACAGAAATAAAGAAAGAAAGAGAGAGAAGGGGGAAGAAAACATGGCAGAGTTGGCGTCAAACAACGTTAAAGCAGCATATCCGATACGAGTTGGCAAAGTAGTCCGAAATGCTCTTAGCTCAACTTAGGCGTTTGCTAAGAGGATGCATCTTAACAGTTGTTAAGTACCTTCCCATGTTCGTTAGCGGCATATTAGATGACCAACAAAGCCGACGTCACATAATTAACGAAAGTAATTTCCGGGGAGACCGCGCGAGAACAGCGAATCTCGCAAAAATCGATCAATGAGTATACACTTATGATTGGGCTAACCACGGCGGCGTCCCGGAGAACTCGTCTTCACTGTAAACACATTAACGTCTACGGAACATAATTGAATCCCGCTTACACTCAAGAACAACAGCAACAATAATAACAATAATAACAACTTCCAGTCTATCCGCGTTAACCCTTTAAAGCCCAGTACACAAATGTGTGCATTCACTTTAAGTACTTCTCGAATATTTTATATCGGCTAAGTAACGATTCCCGTCGATTTGGGCCACAAGATTCTTCATCAGGGACATCTTTTACGACTCTATTTGATGAAGAAAAAATTGTATTTCAACGAAATTAACGCTTGGGCCCCACAAAAAGTCAACAATGAGAGAGACAACGAAAGAGGCATGAAAAGACGTGCATTGTTATCGACGAAAGTTGTAGCCGCCGGTGTTTTCCAGTTTCACTGAACGGCCCATGTTCATTTCGCGAGAGCGCACGCCGGAATATGTCCGAAGGATAGACACCTCCTCCTTTCCCAGTTCGGCTCCGTACATATATCCCTTCCGGAGGCTTATCCGCGTCGGAGGCGACCCTTCCCAAGGAAATCCCTAGACGGCCAGCGTAAAAGTTCCTATTCTGCACGAAAGGAAAACATCGTCTGGAGCTGGGAGTGCAGGACCTCTCGGCCGGGATCATCCCGAGAGTACCGACACATGCGACTGGCCCGTGTGTGCACGCTCACATACAGTGTCGCGCATGCACACGTACACACGCGCACCCCGACGACGGAGTGATACTCGCGCGAGGTGGCAGGCCGCCTTCGAGGATCCTTCGAGCCTTCATCGATCACTATATAGCTGCCCCGGGGTCAACCTCCGCGTATCTCGTTTCACGGTTAGCCGGCCCGAAAATATTCCCTATCCCTTTTCATCAGGACGGGAAAAGGGCGACTTCAGGCCGGCCGCCGAGAAGCGAAATTTAGAGCCCACTCGGAGGTAAATAGAACGTATTCGGGTCGTCGGACTTCCCCTCGAGTTCGTGAATCTCCCGGACTCGCCTGACTTCGGGATTATTCTCCCGCGAGATGTCACCCACGTGAGAGTCACTTTTAGCGTTTACGGGAGAGAGTCGCAAAAGTGACGATATTCCAATCCGAGAGTGCCGGCGCGATCATATTCCATATTTAACCTTTTAGTCATGAATTCTTTTGTATCAGACCAGATTTTCTTGGAACCTTATACCCAGGGATTTTTCGGGTCGCTAATTATGAATCAGAAGGCAAAATTTTAAAATTCATATTAATTTATATTAGTTGTGCCATCTTGGATTTTAAAAAATTTGAAAAATTCTACCTCAGATTAGAATTCAGTGACCTAAAATTTCATAGAACAACGTTAAGAGATATTCCAACTACTTATTTGAATTTACAGTAGAATATATTGATTTTTCCATATTTTTCAGATTATTAATTTATAATAAAAAGCAACGTAGCAAAAGCATCTGCCATTCCAAAAAATGTTTTAGGGTGTTCTAAATCGCTGTTTCAATATTGATAATAATTTAGTAGAAAATGACTTTTCATAAAGAGCACCAACTTTGACTATTTGTGTATTTATAATAATCAGTAAAAATTTTAAAATAGTAGCAAGTAAAAATTTATGATTTTTGTAGGGACTTTACGAAAACAAAAAACCGATATTTAAAAATTCGTTAGAATAATTATAAAAACTGAACGGAAAAAGGGGTCGGCCTGTGCGACCCATCATGCCGCAAAGGGTTAATACGAAAGGCGTCACTTCGCGATTCCGCGTCCCATCTACTCAATATCGACATCACTGTCGGCGGGATCTCGCGGGCTGAAAATCACGAACGGTCGTATGAACCGCGCATT